GCAAAGATTTCAAAGGCAGACTTTGTATCTAATTTAGCAAATAAAGGAACAATTCCAACGGTCATCAAAACTTCCATATATCTAAGCCATTGCTAATTTGTTTATAACAGCTGACCATTAGTTCCCTCTAACAACTCTATCATATTCTATCCATATAGCTAACTCATACTAACTAGTTGATATTCTAATAGTATCCCATCGCCTAACACACTATCCTAAAGATCGGTGCATCGTACCCAGAGGGAATTGAATGGAATTTTACCTATCAAATGTGGCAGGTATTGGCTCCGGGAGGTGCAAAAGAACCAATTGATGTTTTATCAGACTTTCTCGGCAGAGAACCATCAATTCAAGCATTTATTGACACCAAGGCTGAATATAGTTTGTGAGGCAGAAGGAATTTTGGTAACTTCTTCCCTCTCTTCTTTCTACAACAGAAAGAATTTCCTCAGCGTTCTGAAATTTTGTTTGTTCTATCGTGGATACATCTTTGTATCAAAATCATATTTATTTTTTTGTTTTCCCCTTAACGGTTAGCCTGTGTGTGTAGGTAGATTCAATTCATATTTACTAAATACCCACTCCATTCTTCCTGGGGAAAGTTAGCTGGTAATATTTCACTTGCCTTTATGTTTCTACCGGAAAAAACATTTTATTCTTAAAAGCTTTTGTTTCACTTTCCATTCAATTTAGCAGTAGCACATACTCAAATCAAGAATTTAGCTGCATTTGTTTTTGAAATTGCCTCGAAATGAAATCTGGAGTGTGAACCTCTATGTCACATTTCATTGGCTACTATATAATTTCCATTTAGGATTATTCCAAATTTGTTTCATAAAGCAGCCATATAAAGAATTTTCTGGTAGCCTGGTGGGCTGACAACATTTACAATTTAGTGGGTATGGACCCAAGAGTTTCTTCTTTTTATAAATTGTATCGTAGCTTATAAAGTCAGTCCGAACCGACAGCCAATTCAGTTGGATTCGAATTGATTATTCTGTTTTTGACCCCTTCCTGTTCGCGGTGTTTAGGGAAATCAATTG